AACCTAAATTTTTCATTTCCTACTCCTGCTGGAGTACACCATACGTTTACTTGGAAAAATCTCCCAAATAAACTTTCTATGTACTAAAAAAAATTAACACCCCTTGAACACAGGTCGTCTAATTTTTTAAGGGCTAGAACAAAATGTCGCAAAACTCAAAATTCAAAATTTTTCTTTCTAAAATATTCACTTAGTAATTCTTATGTGGTTCACAAAATTTTAGAATGATTAAAAAAAAAAAAAGGTTATACTAAATAGGTGTTTCGAACCAGGAAGTACATACACAATATACTCCCATAGGAGCATAGTATATGTTCTCCTAATTCAAAATTGCCAAAATTTACGGCAAAATATGGGATGAATATCAATCATCAAAGACAAATGACAATGTAAGATTTTCTTTCGCCTTATAATTACAATAAATTTGTATGACCAAGACCTTAAAAAGTGCCCTGGTCACTCTTTTGGGAACCGGTTAAAAAAGTAGGGCTGCACGTTTGAGTCAATATGGAAAAAATGTAGGGCAATGGTTGGATCCAGAGATTTAAAAAAATGTAGGTCAATGGTGGGATCCATGATTTAAAAAATGCCCCGTACAATATCGGAATCCATCATCTGTTCTGGTTCTACATATATTTAAAAAACAGTTGAATCTAGAAGGGAATCGATGATTCCGTACAGTAAAACAATGATTCTCTTCAGTAAAACGGTGATCCGATTGCCAATTCACCCATCCAAACCAGTTTTTGGCTAGTTCACTATATTTCACGTGTTTTTTCGTCGGTTCATTATTTTCTGTACACAGTAAAACGGCGATTTGGACCACTGATTCACTGGCTTGGTCTGGTTTTTGGGATGCCCAATCTTAGTGACCTATCCGTTTTTTAAGTCACTCGTTGGAACTTTTATGTTGGCATGAGACTCTACTCTTTAATATGAATTTTTTAAATTTCAAATTTGATGTAGTTTATGTAAATTTATGAACACTTGAAAATAATCAGTCTAGATAATGTAATGTGTTTTTAATGCTTCAATCTTTTTTTTTTCTTTTCTTTTTTTTTTTCATTTTACTCAGATACTTCCTCATAAAAAATGATAAAAATTCCCCAAATTGATATTATTGAAGGTTCTTAATGAAGAACAATTAGAGGTATACAATCGACACATTGGGTACCAAACGACAATATTACCTCAAATGTTCAGGATTAAAAAATAAATAAATTCAAAAGTGTTTTTGAATCACATTCTTGCATGTCCAATGATGTTGATACATCTAATTGTTTCTCATTTAGAACCTTGAACGGCATATTCTTTGTTTGTGCCCTTGAATGAGCAGCGGAGTCATGTCATTTCGTTAGAGCCTATTAGGAAGTCAAATTACTAAAATGCCTTTTGATTATTCAGGCTTTTCAACTCAAACAAAGATAATTAATATTTATTTTGAAAAAATATCTGAATGAAATGAAAAATAAAAAACAAACATGTCATATATGAATTAGAATCTATTAACCCATATAATGATTTTGTAAAAGTTTCAACCCTGATATGATACTTTTAGCATACATGACAATCTTGCTACATGTGTAGTCAATCATATGTTTTAGACATAAGATAGCTGGATTACCACTTTGCCTGCTCAAGTCCATCAAAGTAGTTCAATGATTTATCTCATCTACCCCTTTTGGCATCAGACAGTTGAGGATATTTGTAGCACACTATTTGTATGCTACTTCAACATGCTAAACTTGTAAAATATCAATTCTCATCTTTGGTATGTCTGTGAAATTTGATAGTTTGAGTATGTCAAAAAATTCAAAAGAATTTCTTTTAAACATTGACATTGGTCAATGCCACAAATGGAACCCTCAAATAACACATATAGTGGTAAAGATTAATTGTAACCTCCATAAACCAAATATAAATAATATTGTAGACTTTCTCTAAAGGATAATACAACAACAATGAAGTCATGAAAATTCAACAAAATTGAGAAACTCCCGTACTAGAAACCGGTTGAAAATTTCAAAAAAATTTACATAAAAATAACCTGTGGAGTTTGGAATAATGAAAAAAAAACAACTCCAAAAAATTCTCTATTTTCGCAATCCAATTACTTTTACTGGAGAGGAAAAGTTTGTCATGCATAGTAATGACCACACGGTATTGTCTCTATGTACTTATTTGGAATATTCTATCAAGTTTGGACTAGATTGGTTAGATTGTTAATTGGTGCCTTAACACGTTTGGTCTAAAAATTATTTTTTATTAAAAAATATCAAAATTAATATTTGACCGTAAGTGAATTGACCAACTTTGTCTTATCTGACTACACTAAATTGGCCAAATTTTTGTTAATATATCTTTTGTTTTAAAAAAATATCATTTAACTGATTTGGTTAAATATAATCGAACAATTTTTTTATAATATATTTGATATTTTTATACCAAACTTCTTTAATTTACTTTTTAATAATAATTCGGTCTGGCTTGAACTGGATGCTAGTTTAGATATCCAATTTTACTTGGTTTTGGAAAACAAAAAAAGTGTTTCTCCTCTTTCCCTCTCCATGTATTATTTTTGTCATTTCAAATAAGTCGGGGCTATACGGCGCCAAACGTTTTGTAATTTGAACAATAGCTCGTAATCTGCGTAATGATCAAAAACCCCTTAAGCACACGGTTGCCATTAAGATATAATGACTAAAATACCCTCAACCACCTCTACCCGTATATGCTTAACTAAACTAAAAATAAATGCGATGGTTTATATAGAGCCGAGTCTCTAAACAATCAAATTAAAGCCATTATAAAAAAGTTCACTAGAAGATGTTGTTTTGATGCCCAAATATTCTCAAATTGATCATCTCGGCATCAAGATGCAAGAACATGAAAAAAAATTGGATTTCAATTTTTGGAAATAGTGCATCTTATAATGCATTTTGGACCGTCAATTTTCAAGATTTCCAAATCTGCTTGATCTACACTTTTTTTTAAGAGTTAAATTTTATAAGTAGAGATTAAAATATATTTTAAGGTCATCACAAAGACTTTTAGTATTGAAACCATATTTATCGACACTATTTTAAAGTAGGTTTTATTTTGATTGTTTAGAGCCTAGGCTAGACAACCCAAAAATAGAAAGCTAAACTGTAATATTTGCTTTTTCGAGACCTAGATGATAACGCTAAACTGTAATATTTGCTTTTTCGAGACCTAGATGATAACACCATTCTTATTTGGTGTATGGGGTCACAATTAATTATGGAAATTACATGCCGTAGTTGGGATTTTATTTATTTTACTAATGGGAAACGTTTTTATACTTCTCCTAGAATATTTATGTTTTCCCTACCATCCACTCGTCCAATTTTGATCAAGAAAGTCACTCACAGTTTGATATTAGATCCAACATCTCAAAGTATTTTATTTTAATACAAATTATATGACTATGAAATTTGGTACATGTTATCTTCTCATTAAGGTGCATCTATAAAAAATATTAAAATTAATTTTTTGATAAAATATAGTGACCAAAATACCACTTAAAACTTTCAAAGGTATTTTGATCATTTTAATTTATTAAAAATAATATTTTTATATTTTTCGCTAGTGCGAGTTTTCTAGAGGACTGGACATACAAATTTTGGTGTTAAAATAGCTTGTAGAAAAAACATTAAAAATAAAATAGAGTAGAGACGTGACATTGTGATTGAAGCATTCTTAGCCTTCTATTCAGAATAGATGGTAGGATAAAGGGCAATCTATAAGTTTTAGGTTGTAGAGGAAGCATAAAAATCTTGCTTTTTACTTCTTAAGCCCAAAGTTCAAAAGAATTTTTTCAAATTTTATAGCATACTCTAATTGTCGGATTTTACACCTAGTTGTGGATGATTGTCATCTTCTTATACTAAAGATAAACCCCCTTTTGAGAAATTTTATATAAGGGTGCAATATTATTATAGTACGATGCAACTGTCTTAAGTAGATAGAGTTTTGTGGTTGGAAAACCTTCCAATTGATCATTACAACCGAGAGATATATGAGTATGAAGAAAAAAAATAATAATTCAAGGATAATAAATAATGCATCTCATAACAAGTTATCTGAACCATCAATTTTCAATATTTTTGAACGTTTATTGATCTACTAGATCTGTTTTATTTTTTATATTTTAAATTATATAACTAGGGATGAAAATAAATTTTCAAGCGATCATAAAGTTATTGTAAGCAAATTTTGGAGGTGCGCCTTAGTTCTATTGTATAAGAAGGAAACCTTGTACAAACCTCACCAAATAATTTTAGGCTATACAATCCTTTACTTTTATTTTTAAAACTAAACTACCAAAATTTCAGCTTCCTACATAGTTTAGAAGCGAAATATTTTGATTATTTAAGTTTGATGAATTATCTTCACTTATATTCATGTTAAAAATTGTCATACTATATATTCGGGTAGGAATATCAAGAAACTTCGTAAATATCATCACCAGAGTTCTTTTTTAGTTTGAGGTCGATTACATGAATCATGATATGTCATTCTACTTTATCAAAGGTCATACGTTTAGTGAGGTCATAAACCGTTATAATATCTTTTCTTACGATTTCAAAGTATGTCTTTTTGGACTAATTTTTTTTCATTTAGCCTTCTAGTCTAGAAAATTTTTAAACTAATGGGTTCCATTAATATCATTTGGGATCCGTTAAAGAAATGATATTGCTAATCTTAGGAGCAGAAAATTAGTCCATTTAAGGAATAAGACGAGGCTATTTCCGATAGTTTCAAGAAAAGGTTAGGGCAATTTAGTCACCGCAAGAAAAAGATTTGTTGGAACTTTTTTTGCGCTCTGTTGTGCTCTTTGCGTTCCTAGTCTGAGGAGCGGGGCCCACTATGGACAACTGTCAACACCGCATTTGTTTCAGGCTGTTTCTCGGGCAGCTCGGGCAGGTGCCCGGAATCTCTGCTGCATATAAATGACGCGGCCCAGTCTCTAGCTCCGAAATTTAAAGTGGCCTTTTTAGAGGAGAAACACTTCGAGTCTTGGACAGAGAGAGCGAGAGGAAGCCCTAGAAGCTTCGTGTATTTCTCTTTTCTGCGATTTTTTGTTTCTGAGAAGGCGAGGAATAATGGCGGGTTTGAGGAGCTCGAGCTTAGCTTCAATGGCCGTTATTGCCCTGGTTTTTGCACTGGTTTGTGGTGCGTTTGCCGCTGAATCGCCTGCTCCTTCCCCTGATTCGGGCGCTGTTGAAATCATACCCGGAATTATTGGTGGTGTGGTCATCTCTGTAATGGCGTTCTTCTTTGGGACCTTTTTTAACTGAGGATGGTGGCGTTGTGTCTGGTTTGGTAACTTTCTCTCTCTAACTCTCGGTTTTCTGTTGAAATGCACAATCTCTTTCTTTTACTAGATCTTTCTTCATGCTTAAGTCTCTCTGCATTTACTAACAAATTTTATCTTCAAAAGGCTCTCTTTCTTCTCGAATTAGTAAGCAGTTCTTCATGCTTTTGGTTATGGCCATATTTTTTGAGCATTCTCGTCATAGGTATCTCTCTCTATCCGTTCCCCTTCTCGCTCTCTTCGATTTAGTAGATTTTTATTTGATACTTCCAATTATCCCACTTTCTCTCTCTAGTCATGGATGGTTTTCTTCTTCATTCCACCGATTCTCCACTCTTCCTTCTATTCTGTTTCGGAAATGAATGGTACAAAAAAGTATTAGAATGTCAGAAAAAGGTGTGGAAGCTTAGTAAAAACGCAGATAGCAATCTCAAAAATCTTTTGATGATTATTAAAATCTACAGAAAATAATTGCAATAGAGGAAAATAGGTGATTTTTCATTAGGATGCTGTTTCTCAAAATTCAGTGATAAACTTTTTAGAAAGTGGGCGATGTGTGTAAGTTTATCTGCAAATAAATTTATCATTTGAGGGAGAATGGTTATTTTTTAATTTTCTTCAAAAAAAAAAAAAAAATCTTTTGAAACGTGATTTTAGTTCGTTCTCAACAAATAAAAACTAAAAAATAAAAAATAAAAAGAAACTCTTCAAGATTTGATGCTATTATAAAAGAAATAGCTAGTGATGTGTCACTTTTCATTTCTATCCATTCTATTCTTATTTTGTAATTTATTTGGCATTTTTCATGAATGCTCATAAGATTTCTTTTTCTTTCAATATTTTAAAAAAAGAATATTTTTGTCCTGCTTTATTTTATCTATCCATCTACTGTTTTCTTCTTTTTTAAAAAAAAAACTGAAATGTGGGTTCTGCTTGTATTTGATTGCAGGTATGGCGAAATTCTCAAGAGTTCGACTGATGATATATATGATATGAAGTATATGTTATATTACATGTAGGTCGTAGAGCCTACCTTCAAATAATGTCGAGTTTTCACTTTCAATTAGTGTCGAGTTGTAAATCTCTGTTACAGCCTTGAAATATATTTTCATATTTATTTATAGGGAAGGTTTCTATATCTTATCCGACATCTCGAAGTATTTTATTTTTAGTTTTTTTTATATAAATTATATAAATATGAAATTTAATACATCTTCTCATTGGGACGTACCTCTATAAAAATTATTAAAAATAATTTATATAAATTATATAAATATGAAATTTAGTACATCTTCTCATTGGGACGTACCTCTATAAAAATTATTAAAAATAATTTTTTGATAAAATATAATGATCAAAATACCTCTTGAAACTTTTAACGTCTATTTTGATGATTTTATTTTATTAAAAATAATTTTTTTAACATTTTTTGTGTAAGTTTAATAGAAAAAAATTAAAAATAAAATAGTGGAGTGATTGGGGCAATCTTGCCCCTCCATTCAATATGAAAGGTTGGATAAAAGGAAGTCTATAAGTTTTACCTTGGATGAAAGGTTGGATAAAGGGAAGTATATGAGTTTTATGTTATAGGAGAAGCATAAAAAACTTGTCTTTTATTTATAGGAAAAAGCTTATACGAGGATGTTATCTTATAATGTAGAACTATGGATGCCCCTAAAAAATCCATCGAAAAAATAGTTTTAATGTTGAAAGATCATTTCCCCTAAAAAATCCATCGAAAAAGGTCGTTTTAATATTAAAAGATCATTTTGACATCGAGATGTATTACTATAAAAAATAAAAAGATTTTAAGTCTTAGAAATAATGTATGTTGCAACATATTATGAGTTTTCAAGATTTTCATATGTTTATAGATCTACTTGATTTTAATTATTTTTGAAATTTAAAGTTTTATATTTAGATATAAAAATAGATTTTAAGATAAACCTAATAACATTTTACATCAAAATTATTTACCATGATAAAATTTGGAGGGCACCGTACCTCTACACCTACATAGGTAGAAAACTTGAAAATATTGTACCTCTACACCTACAGAGGTAAAAAAACTTAAAAATACTGAAAATTGACAGTAAAAAATGAGATGCAAAATATACTATTTCTAAAATTGGAAATTTTTTTTTTTTTTTTTTTTATGTCCATGCCTCTTGATGTCGAGATAATCAATTTGAAGATATTTGAACATCAAAAAAAATGAAATTCTTGATGTAGGCTCTAATTTGATTGTTAGAGCCTCAACTCCATATAAACTTTTCCCTCTCTTTTTCCTCTTGAATGTTTGCTGCCTTTACGTCTTTTTTTTGCTCTAAAAACCCTTGGTCTGTCTATCTACCTTTTAAATGAGTGGTAATGAAGATCAATTTATTTGGAGTGTCTTCCAAGTTCATGCATTGACCTTTAAATAAAATACGAGATTGTAAATAATGAGATATTAGTCACAATTACTTATAACGATAGTATGTGAAATCTAATAGTTTGCTAGTGTTATAAAGTAGGAGAAGATTTCTTTCCTCTAAATGTAAACCTCGAATGATTAAGATTAATTGCAACTACCTAGTATCAAAGTTAAACAGTGATGTCTTTTGTGTTTTGGGAAATTTTAGAATAAGATATCGTATTTGCTTTTGTTTTAGAGTGATAAAATAATTCCCCTTGTGAAGGAGTGAATATGAACACGGAATGGAGGCCATGAAGAGGGAAACAAATAATTGATTTCCAAAATATAGACATTCCCCCGACATTGGGAATTCAACTCCATTGTTTGTTTTAAGTCACGTGGTCTAGCAGACAGACTAGGTTTCCTCTGGATTAGGTCTCCACTCGGCTAGACCACTATGGATGGCGACAAATGCCTGCTCATCTTCCTCATCACAACGATGGATGGATGGATGATCATTCGTCAGTCTCACTCATTTCAAAAGATGGGCGTAAGTGACATGGACTAGTGTTTGTCCTCTACCTATTCCGTTGTATGTTTTCCGCACTCACCAATTTCTCATTCCACTCGCCAAAGAAATGCTCCATCTATGCACCATTGGGCTGTAATTCTCTTTCTTTTTTTTTCCTTTTTTAAGAAAATAGGGACCGTTTACTTTTAGTAGGGGTGGCAATGGACTCGACTCGATCCGGAACATGACGGGTAGACCTGATCTTAACTTTAGTTATTGATACAATTTTTGGACCTGACTGGTCTAGTTCAGGTCCAAAATTGGAACCCCAACACTCTTCAGGTTTTGGTGTGGGTCTAGGTCCAAAACCTGGACCAGAACACTATTCGGATCTGGGTCCAGCCAGACCCAACCCATACCTAACTTGTAGAAATAAAATATTTTACTTTAAGCTCTATTTGTTTGGATGTATTAAAGATTGTATACAATAAGAACTTGCCGTCATCTTTAGCTAGTAAATGACAAATCTGATGGCTTGAAATGTGATTGTGACCTTGTTATCAATAATGTGGGTATATGATGGTAAGAAAAAATGATAAAAAAAAGAAAAAGAAGCTCATTGTCATAGGGTAAACAATAGACTCGATTAGATCCGACAAGTATGGGTATGAGTCCAACTTTTAGACCCGACGGATTGGGTCTAGATCTAGCCCAATCCAACCCGTTGCCACCCGTAACTTTTAGTATAAAGAGATTGCAATCACTCGTGTGTCAGATGTTAAATTAGATGGTTGTGAAAGCATATGGTTGTGTCTTTTGACTAGTGTTAGAGTATAAAGAATTTTTTTTTAAGCTTCATGACATACTTCAAGCCATCTAATTAGACAATGATTAGGAGTATTTGTGATCTCCTTATATTTAAAAAAAGTATAAAAGTAGACTATTTACTTTTAGTACAATGAGGTCATAATCATTCTTCTCCATCAAATTTCAAATCAAATGATTATAAGTGTACATGTGGCTAAATTCAAAGCTCCACAAATTTTTTTTTGAACTTCACGATACACCCCAAGCCATCTAATGGTTAGGATTGCTTGTAGGGAAAAGTTTATATCAGGTTGCAACCTTAAAATGTAGAATCACAGATGAACCTCAAAAATCTATAAGAAATGTTGTTTTAATGTTGAAAAAACCTTTTAATCGATCATCTCGATATTAAGAGGTATGAATATGAAAAAAAAAAAAGGGCTTTGAGTCTCGAAAATAGTGCATCTTGCAACACATTATCTAGAACGTCCATTTTCAATAATTTCATATATTTATAGATCTACTTGATTTTAACCATTTTTGGAATTTAAAATTTTGTAATTAGATATGAAAATAGATTTTAAGATAATACTAAGAATTTTTTATAACAAAATTACATATTACGATAAAATTTTAAGGTGCGCTTTGATTGGATTGTTTAAGGTTGCATCCTTATAGAAACCGCACCCTTACTTGTAGCCTCTTGTACTAAAGATAAGTGGTCACCTAGTATATAATGGTTGGGATTGATTCATATAATGAAGTCGTCGCAAATACTCTTGTCCGTCAGATTTCAAATCGGATGGCTGTAAGAATGTCAATGACTAGACTCAAAGTTCTCAAAAAAATATTCTCAAACTTCATAACATACCCCATGCCATCTAATTTGACATCTAATGGCTAAGAATAATCGTGAACTCCTTGTAACAAAGATAAGTCTCATAGCATATAATCAATATAAATGACTCTACAACGTACAATACTCTCTTTAGCTTTTGTTTTTGTTAATTGTCGTAACCAACGTAAAAGCATGTTTATCTAGTCATTATAAATTTAAGTAGGCAGCGAATGGCAACAAAGTTTTACGACTGCAAACTCGTAACACTACTTCATAATCATAATCTCTTCTTCGGCCTGCGGATCCACCTCTATAGTTGATCTTTCCTTTTAAAAAAGGAAAGAGTTTATATAAGGTTGCAACCTTGAAATGTAGAATTACATATCCGTCTCAAAATTCTATCAGAAAAGGTTGTTTAAATGTTGAAAACTCTCTAATTGATCATTTCGACATTGAGATTAATGAATATGAAAAAAAATAATAATAATAATTTAAGTTCCAAAAATAATGCATCTTGCAAGATTTTCATATGTTTATAGATCTACTTGATTTTAACCATTTTTGAAGTTCAAAATTTTATAATTAAATATGAAAATAGATTTTCAGATAATCTTAAGAATTTTTTACACCAAAATTATATGTTATGATAAAATTTGAAGGTGCACCTTAATTAGATTATTTAAGGTTGCAACCTTATAGAACAAAAAGAACATCTAAATGGGGGATGTTCGTCCAATATCTACCGTCCATAATTTTCAAAGATGGGTAGGTTTCTTTATCCGCAAGTAGAACATTCGAAGAGTCTCCTTGTATGAGACGAGGTTTTATACCCCTTGCAAATGGGGATATATATACTAATAAGTAGTTATGAAATTGGGAGATGTAAGGGATTGTTCACTCACGAATCCGTGTCAAATCGTTGAAAGGGCTATTCAAATTGGATCTGATCACTCTCATTGCTGGTCCAAAAAAATAATTAAAAATGAATGGACGAAAAATAAATAAAAAGGTTTATGAGATGGGGATTTAGAAGGGAGTTATAATAACATCAGACAAGGTCAAAAAATAAAGGGGGTTTTATTTTGGGGTGGGGGGAGTGGGCCTAGGACCCATAACATCTCAGGGCTAGTTCAATCCCGACCAATTTCCATTCTGATCAGCTATTTAGATCAAGAATCACTGGCTTTTAAAACACTAACGATAAGTGTGGAGGTTGTAACTATATGTATATCACATAGGAAAGGGGCTGGGATCGTGGCCGTAGCATCTCCAAACCTAATCACCACATTGTAGTCTCTATTCTTATCACTTATCCAACTAAGCTTTCAAAAATCTAACTCCTCTAAACTGCTTAAAAAAAAGGGTAGGGTACTGTCTTCCCCATATATATATATATATATATATATATATATATA